TGTGCTTTCACTTATAATCACTTAAAATCTATCTTTCTAGTTAATAAATTTGTTTGTTTATTGTACATGAAGCAGTGCGTTTGGTTTGAAGTGTGTCAGAGACTCCCCTCGCGATAACAAGCCTGGTACATATCAATTTCTTTGTTAAACTGACAAACTCATATAAGCTTACAGTGTCCAGCGGGCATAACTGGACACTGCAAGACAGAGATTCCTAGGGTTGTGTCTGGGACTGGACATATTGGCTAGTGTCATTCAGTTGCACAATCCAAGCAGCTTACATGCCAGAGGCTGTGCGTGAACAGCCCAAGAGTGGGGGTTTTCACAGCAGAGCAGGGTAGGGCTGGCTCCCGGAGTCAAGGATTGGAATGACCTAGCAGATCACCGGTCCGGATAATACCAGGGGAACGTCACAGAGGGTCTGAGACTTCCCCAGAAAGACAACCACCCTCCAGAACCTGGCTCACAGGAGAGCTGGTGATTGGGGGGGGGGATCTGAACCCCAAAGATGGGCAGAGATCCCCACATCCTAGCACATACACAAGGGAGAAGGAGCAGGGCTCACACACCCCCAGGGTGTAAGGGATCCCAGATCCCAGTTCACACGGGGAGAAAGCACAGAGGGCTCAGACCCCCACCTCCCAAGAAAGTCAGGCCCCAGAACCTGGCTCACATGAGGGGGGACATGGAGCAAGTCTGACCCCTGTGAATGAGCAGGGGCCCCCTAGATCCTGGCACACAGACAGACAGGATGGCAGGGAGCATGACTCAGACCCCCCAGAGATTCAAGACCCCAGCTTATACGACTGGAGGAAGGGAGAAAGTATCAGGGCCCCTACAAGGGCAGGCGGGCCCCAAAATGTTGGTACACACACAGAAGGGAATAATAAGGGCTGACATCCTCCTGCCCTTTGTTCTTCCTCAGAGTCCCTACGTTCCCTCCCCAGTGTCTCTCTCCCTCTACCAGCCCCCAATTCCTCTCACCTCCCCTAGCACGCATTCTCCTCTATCCCCCTTCCATCATCCTCTCTCCCCTTGATGCAGCCCCAAATGCTTCTCTTCTCATCTTTATTCCCCCCACTCCTCAATCCCTAAAATGCCTCTCCCCTCCCAGCAATCATTTGCATGTATATATATTTACATATTTTATAAATCTACTTTGAATACATTCCCCCAAAATTAAAACCCTAATTTTCTAGTATAGAGCAGGCCTTAGTGTAATCCATGGGGCTTTTTATCATTATAAAGTGCTTTTTAGACCAACTAAATGAAGAACCAAATTCTTCGGCTAATATTGTAAAATAATTTCCCCTAAAGGGCTAGTGCATGGCATGCACTCTACTGGGGTAACTCTCAAGCATTTGAGACTCTGATGCTATGAACTCAGCCCTGTTTTGATCTTTATCTGTGCACAAAAAATTGCAAACCATACCATCTCTTAAAAAAAAAAAGAAGCTAGTTTTCCAGGGAACAGTACCTTGGGATTCCTGGTTTGAATAGCCCCAAATATGGATCTCTGACAAAACCCAATACCCCCAAGAGAAACATACAAAATCAAGGCAATATGAGAAAAAGTACGTATTTTAGAGCACTTAGACAAGTCAAGCTCTACACAGAAAGCTGGTCTTACTCTTAACTATGGAAAAGTTAGCATACTGCTACGACAAAGAGAATATGAACAGGAAACAAAGATGGTCTTACTCCAAGACCATTCTTAGGAAACCAGGAACATGGGTAGTTCAAGAAGAAGAGCACTGATGGATTGGAGGGAGGCCACCTTGTAATATCCTTATATTTGTTACTAAATAAGGCAATATCCCTTCATTTTTGAATACATACAGTCCCTATATGTTATTAAAAAGAATCTTTAAAAATATACAAGTAGAGTTTTTTCTGTATTCTAAACATGACTTATGTACCTTTTTTATTTCTAGACCAATCATGGCTTAAATAGTATTGGTACACAAGCAGATGAAAAAAAAAGTCAAAACCCATAAGTGACAGGGTGATAGAGAAAGAACAGAGTATCTTTTAGGTAAAAGAATAAAGTCATTACGCAATATTCAATTTTCAAGGTGCCAAGGATTATTAAACAACTGGGAATTTAGAAAATGTACTGAGTAGTTAACCATGTCCATATTGTGGGTGAAATTTGACCCACAAAGATTTCAGGTTTCCAAATCTATGACCTATAGAAGTCTTTATAAGCTCAGTAAAAACTGTTTATTACCAAACTAAATACCATACTACTGTCTGAATACTACACAAAAACAGAAAATGAAATTGACTAGAAAATGAAAGTGATTAGGCTATATTAATTTCTAAACTAGAGAGAACAGAAAAGTATGACAGTGAAATGCAAAAATTCAGCTGTAATAATGTAATTTTAAGGTGCCACTTTTGATATTGAAAATCTTAAATAAAACATTTCTTCCCTATTTGTTAGCATCTAACTTCACAATATTTATCCAGCAACATTGGACCAATGGTCACACCAAAGGAAGAAAGAAAAAGTGTCATTCTAGAAGTCTTTCAGACAGCTTCAGTTCCTTTCAGCAATTTCCCCAGTATCACCTCTGGCATTTCTGCTGCTTCAAAGCCATATTTCAGCCTATTGCTTCCTCTTTTCTGCCAATAATTTATTTTCCTAGCCATTAGTTTTCCCTCCCCAACCTTAAGTCCTTACTTACCAACCTACCCTAAAAAGGATTTAAGGTATAATAATTGTAAAGTGCTTTGGGACTGAATGGAAGACGTTATCTCAGTATTATTTAATGTCATCCACCCAAATGTTCAACTCATTGGCCAAAGCACCTGTTTGTCTGGGGAAAAAGAAGGGCAGGGCAGGAATAAAAGTCTTTGTATACAACCAGTCTTTGCAACACTACTTAAAAGGAAGAAGGCTGGCAATGGCAGATTAGCTTTTTCTTGTGGTAGGATTTTTTTTTTTTAAATAAGTACTACTCAAAGTGCAGCATAGTTTCAGAAGAAATAACTCCCTAAACTTTTCTAGGAGATGCGTTTAAAAAATTTTTAATAGATAATATTTTAGAATACATCTCAAAATAATTCCAATTAAAGAGATCATCATCAGTAATACAGTCTCACTTGTAAATATTTTGAATGTAGTAACTAAACTACAGAAATGTCATTTTTGTCTTTCAGATATATTTTTCTTTTTTTGCCTAAGTGCTCTACTAGTTCAGAAACTGGGCTGCTGCTGCTGCTGCTCCTTTTAATTATTAAAAAAAAAAAAAAAACTTCCACTCACAATCCTAGAAGGATTTTGTGCTTTCAGCAATCCTGCATTGGCATCTGCCTTCAGACACAAGATTATTAACTTCCTCAGCAAAAAAGCAGAATCATAATTCTGAAAAATAAACAACACACAGGTGAGATCTTCCATTGGAAAGGACTTTTGCAGAAATCCAATTTATAAGGTTAAGATATACACTTTCTTTTCTGCTCAGCAGGTAGTCCAATATGGAGTATGGGCTATGCCTCACATTACCTTCAAAACCAACAAGATGAGACTGGAAAAGATGAGAAATAGGCTGTGCTGCTTTGGATTATGGCACATACAAATTTTTATCCATAGACCATCAATGATAATTGGAAATAATTACTGAAGACCACATAACATTCTCAGAAGTTTCACAGGACACCGAATTCGCACTCCACCCAGGAGGTAGCCATCCTCCTGGGGGAATCAAAATTAACTCCTAAGGAACAAGGAAGGCTCTTAACAGAAGCTTAAGTATGGCAAAAAAAAAAAATCACAAAAACCAACTTTTCTGAAATAATTCAAACCATTCTGTATTCTCTTAATTAGCCTGTGATAATACATTATTGCTAATTGAGTGTTTATACTATAGAAAATTTAAATAAAATTAAATAACTTGGAGGCAAACAGGCATGATTTGGAGGCAGAAGTGGACATACCAAAAAAGGTTACCCAAAGCAGGCTAGAACTGGGCAAAACGAAGAGCAAGAGCAGCAGCTGAAGAGGCAGAGGTCCTACAAGAGTTTGTTCATAGGCCATACGGAAGGAACTAATCAGAGAGAAGGCAATAGAGTTCTGGTTGTCACATGAGCCCCAGTAAGGAGCCAAACGTGTGGTACTCATGACCCAGCCCACAAATACCACCTTTAGACCCCAAAAATTTCAGCACTTGTGGCGTTTCACCTGTCATGCGCTAAGCAGCATAAACTCTGAGAATCCTGCACAGATTATAATTTTAGGGAAGATTTTTCTCCCTAGTTTACCATAGGAGGTTTTGAGTGAGTAGAGCTTAGTGACATTCTGTCTGCCTAGGTGCTGTACAGGGCTCACGTATGATGTCACAGCACATATAATGCCATCTAGATTATGGTCAGAAGGATCACTACATTATTTCTTTCCCAAACTGTAACAAAGCTTCCACAATTAACAGAAAAATCACAAGTACACGTGATGTATGGACACCCATGAAAAATACGTAGTTGTCTTCTGCACTTCTTACATAAATCACTCAAAATCAAAAGGAGTTATTTTCAAATATGGAGTGACAAGGTCAACTTCTATGTTCAAGAGTTCGGGGACACCCAGATGTGCACAAACTAATCTATTTACTAGCTTCAGAGTACTAATATTCAACCAGATATCTACTAATAAAGTCCCATCACATTAGTTCTTGCCTCTGAGATGGAACTACATGCTATGTAAGTCTTTGCAACTAACTGCTATTATCAGCATAAATCCTAGAGCACATACTGTGACAAGAGTAACTACTACTAAAACAAGGACTTTGTGCAGTAAAATGATGGTCTGCTTCCGTAGCGAGTTCTTCGTGTAAGCACAGATGCAGAACAAAAAACCCTATAAATGTAGGATTGTAGAAAACATTTTAAAATGAGCTCCTTCATCAAAATATATTGTATCTAACCAAAAAAACAGAGGCATTAGCAGCCCCTATACGGTTTTATGAACAAGAAGACAAAGAAAGCTAACAGTTACTCACCAGATTTCTTTAGAACTTCTCACAGTCTCTCTGGTAGTCTAATATTATGCCTGTATAATAAAAAGGGAGTATTTTTTAAAACTCATGTAAACAGCAAATAATCCTACATTAACTATACAATCCTTAATTAATTTACATTTAATATAAACAAACTGTATCCTTGGTCTTAGGACAAGGCTCAAAATGAAGATTAATCATACATTAAGAAAGTTTTATCATTATATGTGTCTGTTACAGCTGTCCCCCTGCTGCATTCCTTTTTTCCCCTCTCCTTTCTGTTTGTCCTGTGTGGCCACCCCTCCCGACCATTGTGCTAACTAAAGTCACAGCCCTATTCATAGGAATGGCTTGTACAGACTAACTGGAGCCATTGCTCTGCCTAGGGAGGGGGCTTCTTGCTTCTTTGTTTGGTTCCTTTGTTCAGACCCGGGCTCGGTATGGGGGGTGCTGCCCAGAAATGCAAGACCTGAAGTGGCCAAATAATTAAGCATGTGAGTCATACCTGTGGCTCAGAACATGCCTATGCTTACCTGCAGCCTTTCCCTGCCTTCTCTCCTCCCCTGTATGAAGAGGAGCCAATCAAAAGTACTGGTGGGAAACTGCCTGAGTTTGCCTTTAAAGCCGGACATTTTCTGATCAGACCTAGGAGGAGGTCCTTGCTTTGCCATCTGGTCTGATCAGCTAGGGGTCTTTGGGGGGCCCTCTCCCCGCTCTTGTTTGTTTTTGAGCATACCCGTTTTGAACTCCCCTCCCACGAACAACAAAATTTGTGCCTGGAGATCTCCTGATTATTGTAAGCGAATCGAGTCCTCTCTCCATCCTCCGATGCTACTGCCGTTCCTGTCTCTGTGCTTGCTGCTGTCCTGGGGATTGGTAAGAACTCCCTCTTGCAAACTCCCCCTGTCCTAGCTCCTAGCCTTGTTTCCCCAGCAAACAGACCCAAGCTAACTCCTTGGTCTGTATCAGTAATCTGTTTCTTGCTCCGCAGCGCCTTTGCTGCTGGAAATAAGCCTGCGCCGCTGCTAGGCTGTGCCTTCCTGGACTGTATCCTGGGCTGCCGGCTTGCAGCCACCCCACTGCTGCAGCCACCACTAGTTAACGCCCCCGCCCGGGACTGTACCCTGGGCACACACCACTCTGCCCTCCGGAACTGCTCCCCCTCCCGA